TGCATCTGTGGGTAAAAGAAAAGGTGGTGGGGATGGGCCTGTATCTGGAGAGGGGGTTGTCCCCTATATTTTGTTTGCAGAAGCAGTGGCCCTGGGACAGCCTCACATCACACAGTGACAACTCTTCTAGGATGAGCAGCTGACCAGGTGATATTAAAGGTGGATGGGTTGTTCTTTCCCTAAAGAAAGGTTGTGTGAAAGTGGTTCCCTCCTGCTTGAAAAACCAAAATAATCCATCCCTAGAGAGGCAACACCAGGTTAGTGAAGGCCCTCAGCCACCTTCCCTCGTGCCATTTACTGAGAGCTGAGCTCTCAGGTGTTCTCCTGTAAATCACAACCGTGGCCAAGATGAGATGGATTTCTGCAATATGACTTGAAACCTGCATTCTGTGCCTTGAGTTCCACGCTTCCATGTTCCTAATGTAACTAATACAGACTGATGTTATTTAAATAACATTAGTCACTTGAAGTGGAGATGAAATTCAGCTGGATAGAGACCTAAATGTATAGTTAAGATGTTTAAAGAAACCTCAGTCTCGGCAGTGGAAGTAAAATTGCTGGGGAGGAGGCATTTTTGCCCTGGAGTTGGGATTTTCAACCTTCTGGGTTTGCTTTTATTGATAATTGCTTAAATAATGAAACACATTTCTGGATTGTGGTTTAAAATGTCCCCTTGCAAAGCTGAGTGTTCCTAAAGAAATGAAATAATGGCTTTCCCCCGGGGACAGAGAGATAACAAGAATTACATCATTAATAATTTATTGTTAAACAGTTGTTTGTTGGGCAATGCCTTGTGGTGTGGCAATAGCATTCAAATTAAAGAAGTTAATTTGTCCTAAGGAAAGACTATATCACATTGCTAAAAATGCTGCCTTGCTTTTGTTTGGATAACTCGATGCTTCCTGGATGAAGGCAGTTCTCTTCACGCAGCAGTTGCTGTCCTGCAGTGAAGCACAGATACATGTGCCTGAGGGTCTGTGGTGTATTATTGTACACAAATTCAGAATGGGTGTCCAGTTGGGCTGACACCCTGGGAGCAGTTTCTCTCCCTGGAGTGGGGTGTCCTGGAGACAGATTTTTAGCATGAGAAAAGGTCCTGGAGCTGCAGATCCAGCCCTCTTCCCAAGCACTGCTCGGCAGCCGAGGCAGACAAATAGTTTTCAGCGAATCACGTATTGGACTCTGTTCTTAAAATAGTGAGTGCTTTCTGGGTTCCTCAGTTCTCCCAGCCTGACCTCGCTGACTGATGAGGAACCTTCACTCTCAAAATCAGTCCTTCCTAGATGGACTTTTAAAAGTCATTTTAAAAAGCACTAATTGCTTTGTCAGCCCTCTTTTTGAGTCATAAAGACTTCTAAGACAAGAAAAGCAAACGTGCACGGTGTTAATCACACGGTGCTTCCCGAAGGGTGCGTTTCCTTTGTTTCGGTCTGTTGATGCAGGTCAGGGGATCACAAACACGTTAATCATCAACGCAGGTAAATAAACTGAAACCACCATCTTTCTGATACAGGTGATCTGTGCGAAATGCTCCGAGTTCAAGCCACTTGCAGATAACAGCCGTCACAACCGAGTGTGTAAGGAGTGTTTCCTGCAGCTGCCGGTGAGCCCCTGCAGCCCTGGGGTGGAAGCAGTTGGAGAACAGAAGAAAAGACTGGCTGCAGAGGTACAGTCTTTGGCTAAGAAACTTCGTGAGGCTCTCTCTTTTTTATTTTTTCTCTTTTTTTTTTTAAAAATTTATTTATTAAAAACAAATCAAATTGGTTATCTTTTCTCCCCCACCGTGCTGTTTGTAGATGGGTGAGTGTTTGTTGGAGGGTGCTGACCACACAAGGGAGGCACACACGGGTTTGGCAGTTAAGCTCCAGCTCCTAAAGTTATAAAAAAAAAGAGGGAAGAACCTCTGGCTCCTTTTTATTATGGTGCATTTCCAATCTTGAGCTGTGCACAACAGCTAGTCACAAAATAAGATTTGGGGGTTTTTTCACTTTTAATTCCTCATAGTGGATACTCCTGCCCTCCTTATTTCACGTCCTGTCAAACTACTGCTGAAACCATTTTTTCCTAGTTGATTGTGCAAAAGAGTGACATCCTTCTGGAAGACCATGAGGATTCACCAGAATTTTCTCAACCCTACTGTAATACAGGCTCTTCCCTCCCAAATGTGACTTCCCCAGGCTGTGCTGTGTGACCTACCTGCTTCACCACTGCCACAGGAGTGGCACCGGGCTTTACACCTTGACAGCAGCACATCCTACCCGCATTTTTCACAAGAACAAGAAACATGTTGGCAAACTGAACCTTCTTTTTTAACTAATGCTTTTTTTAGAGCGTGGGCAGAGCTGGGAGTACCGTTATGTGTCGTGCTTTTCATGACCCACCTTGGAGAGGAGGGGTTTATTTACTTCAGCTGTGAAACACAGCCAGAAGTCACTGGATGTGTGAAAGGGGATCTTCATCTCAGTTCGAAGGGAACCCCCAGGGACATCAGGTTCTTGGAAGAGCCACTGCCACACTGAGAACTTCATTGCCAGTTATCCTTCCCCCACGGTCTGACCTCCACCATCCCACTCTGAGAACCTCGTGGAAAAGCTGCCAGCTCTGCAGAGAAAGTTCTGGAGCCAGAACTTTTTTGACACCCTTCAGATATGGTGCCCCTGCCCACGGCAGGGGAATTTTGGAATGAGATGGTCCCTTCCAGCCCAAAGCATTCTGTGATTCTGTGGTGTGCACTGCAGCTGTGCCTGCAGGTGGGGAGCTCCTCACAGCCATCAGTAGGGGCTCTGGTATCTCATGACAGACTTTGCAGCGCTGTTTCAGCAGAGCTGTTTGTGAAAACCTGCACCTACCCAGGGGAGAGAGAGCACAGTTAATCTGAAAAGCCGAAGGCAAACCAGTGAAATGTGACCTATGGCTTTGCTGCAGAAAGCAGATTAGAGCAGAAAGCTGTAAAAAACCCAAGGAGAAGTGTCATTTCTCCCTCCTGCGCTCAGGCTTCTGGTTTTTTGTCAAGTCTTCAAAGGATCAGGTAAAATGCAAGAACGCTGATGTACAGAAAGGAAAGATCAGAGTGGGGCTTTTCCTTTCCCTCCTGTTTACATGAAACTTTGTTAACAAGCTTAGTAGCAGTGAGGAGATTGCCACTAAATGTTATTAGCAGCTGTCAGAAATCTCCAGGAGACTTCTGTGCAAACCCTAATGTGACCAGGAATATTGTTTTTCTTTGCCTTCTATCAGAACACAACAACTTCTTCCAATCTCTTTTTGCCCTCTGATTTGGCCCCCATCTCTCTGCATCCGTGCACAGGAGGATCTGTTAATATACCCTTTGTATTCATTTGAAATAATCTCCCAGCCTACTTTGCTAAGCAAGAAGTGAGCTGCATCATCTTAATTACCATTCTCAATTTACTGTGTGGAGGGGGAGTTTAACTTCATGTCTGCTGAGAGTGGTGGTTCAGCCTCTGCCTGTGTTACATGGAATTGTGCTATTTGTTGATGGTATATAACAATGATTTTTATTCACTTATGGGCTGTCCAGCATTTGCCCTCCAGTGTTCTTTGACTCTGCACAACTTAAATGTTTTATATTTAATCCTAAATATTTTGCCCACTTTAACATCACTGAAAACAGCTTCTTTTTTTTCTCTTTCCTTCATCCAGAAGCAAAGCATCCTTGCAGCTGAAAACAGCCTCTTCAGCAGCTACCTCCAGTTCCTTGAAAAGGGGAAGACTTGGTACAAAATGTGGGTGACCATTCCCAAGACTGAACCTCTTGTTTTATATCTGCATGGAAGCAGCCAGGTAAGGTGGCCTCCACGAGGGTTAACACACAGGAGGAAAAAAAAAAAAAAAGAAAAGTATAAGTTTAAATATATCAAGCTGAGAAATGGGTCAGAGGATTTGGCTTGGTTTCAACAACAAAACTGAACTTGGTGTTCTGAATATAGCACAAAGCCTCAGAGATTTCAGATTACCTTGTTACCTGCACTTATCTCTGATACTGTTGTGAGCAAATGTTCAAGCTCATCGCTTTTCTTTTCAGATTTTTAAGGGGGAAAAAAGGGGAAAACAGGGATAATTAGGTTGTGGTTTGGCTTTTTTAGGGGTTTCAGATAGGTATATTCAAAAATTATTAATATATATGTATTCTGTCATTAAGGAAACCACTTTCCTGTTAAAAGTGTAGAGCTGTGAAGCAGGCTGAATGTTGCAATTGCTGGTACAAGGCTTTGTTTTTTTTTAAACCTAGTTCTGGGTTGGGAGGGTGGAGGAATTCGTGAAAATGTCGTTGTCCTTCAGCCTGAAAAATGGTAAAGCTCCTTGTCATGGCATCGTGGGATTTTATCTTTACTTGAAATAGTTACATGAATAAGAATTTTTTTATTTCTAAATGCGCTGTTGGAGCTGACTAGCATTCGTGTGTGATGAAAGTCAACTGATAGAAACATCTCTATCCAAGATGGAATATCCAAAATAGAAATATCAGTCACGCTGCCTCAGCGCTGAAGATAAAGAATGACAATGCTGAAATGAGATTCCCTTTATCCAGTTTTGTATCTGGCAGTGGACACTTTCCTACACAGCTTTGTTTATCTCCTGGGTGGGATGGAAGAAGGAGTGGGTCTGAATTCAGCCTGCTGTAGCTGTAGTGATAAGAAGGTTTGCTTTTTATTGGCATCAGTCTGTGGCTGGGAACAGTCTGGGAGCTCAATTTTCCCCCTGATTTTAGAAAGCCTTTCAGAGTAAAGCTCCCCCTGCAGCTGGTGTTCAACAAGCACCACGTGTTGTCCTTAGAACTCTGTTCATTTTGCTGCCTGTCAGCAGGAACACCTCTGGCTTCAAACAGGTCTGTGCAGTGGTTTAAGCACAGCGCTCCAAGAGGCTGAAAGCTCGAATTTGGAGCTTCAGACACAGCCCCCTTGGCTTCATCTTTGATCCCAACCCCACACTGGGTGATGCTCCCCGTTCATCACTGGGGCAGCCTGGCTTGTCTGCGAGTCAACAGGAAATGTGTGGCTGAAATTACACCTTGAAAAAGCAAACAGCTTCACACAAGGCACTAAAACAAGGCAACAAAGCCAGTCTTCGGGGCTCTCTGCAGTCAGGCTCTGGGGAAAGGAATAAAGCTCTAAAAAGCAGAGAAAATGGCTTTGCTGTGCAGCTTTTCAACTGATGTAGGAGCTGTGCCTCAGCCAAGGGCCGGTGCAAGCCCTGGTTCCACACAAACCAAGCCTGACTGTGTCACATTTGGGCAAGGAGGGTGGGAATAGAGGGAGAGAGGTCTAAATTCTTTGGCCTTCCTCACCCAAGAGCAATATATGTCATCTAAGAGATGTGTCATCCAAGAGATGACCAGAGTGAGAAGCTGAGAGGAAGCAATACCTCTTAACCCAGAAATGTAGAATTGCTCCCACTACCCAACTGGTTGTTGGACATGAATCATCTGCCTTCAGTGCACACAGAATGATGCTCAGTTCTGCAGACCCCGCCTGACAGTCGTGCAAAGCCAGGGGTGGAAGCTGGAGGAGCTGCTCTGCTTCAGTTGCTGCCTACTTTGTCCATGTCCTGCCAAATTTGATCTGGAGTCTCTGTTGATATTATTAGTAAGATCTTATTTTTTAGGGGAAAAGGTTGCTTTTAACACCAACTGTCAGTTCTATGACAGTTAAATTTAGTGGTCATTGTCCTCAGCTATTTCAGGTGTGAGATGAATCTCCCAGTAAAGTGACAAGAAAGCAACAGGACAAGGCTGATCTATCATAACAATCCAGAACCGGGGTTTGCTGTCAGGAATCACCAGCTGTAGGCTGAGACTACAAACAACAAAAGTGAATCCCATCTTCAATCCCGTTTGTATACCTCAAGTTGCATCCAACCACAGGAAAAAAATTAGGCAGTGAATCCTATCCCTTGATATTAACCCAACATTCTTGTCAGTTCTGGTTTTTCATAGGCTCCTGAGGAAAGTCTCTCCCAGAGCTTCTTTACTGGTGTCTGAAATCCGCTGGGAACCACTCACGTGCCTGAATGTTATTTTCCCAGGCATAGTTGTGTTTTGTGCAGCCACCTTGGTGGATCTCACAGACCTCTTTAGGCCTGGCAAAGAAGCATTTCAGTGCCTACAAGAGGTGTTTTTTGGGAATAGCATTGCCAGCAGTGGTATTGAAGGTCTTGAAACACAGAGTAAAGCACGACCACAGGAGTTTGAAGGTTAGGGGATTATTATTAAGAGGAACAGAAAGAGCAGCTGCCTCTTGGGAAGAAGGAGCAAACCAAGCTGCATCTGGAGCTTTGGATACAGTGAAAGTCCTGACAGCTTCTTCCTCTGCACCCCTGGCCCTCACACCAAAGAGGGGATGCCAGTGCAGATGGAAACACAACTCACAGGCTTTAAAATAGCAAGAAAACCGCTCTTTGCTTTAGATCCCTGTTTCAGGAGAATGAATTAATCCCCTGATTGTTCTTAGTTTAAGTCTTGCATAAGGCTTTATGCATGAGGATAAATTCCCAGCTTGTTCAGGTTTGGGAATCACACCAGTTGATGTCCTCAAACAGAATTTGTGCACCTGTCTGTCGTGTTTATCTCAGTGGAATTTATTAAGAGTTTGCTTATAAGCAAAGGCCACTTCAAGTGTAAGGAGCAGTGGATTTAGAAAAATAAGTCTGTCTTTCCAAGGGCTCCACCTGGAGCTCCTGCCCCTGTTGTCCTTGTTGGCCTGGGTGTTGTAATTGCTGTAATACAGCAACAAATTCATGCTGCTGTGATGACCTGGATAATAACCCCTTTGTGTCATGCTGCAGAGTCAGGATCGGTGCACAGTGCTTGTGATTGCTGACAGTATTACACAGCCACTAGGTTTTTATCTATCACTCACTATCTGGGGAACATGATTGCAATCAGCCCTAAAGCAAAGGCCTTCTGGGTATTTTGATATGATGAAATATCAATATTGTGCAGCCCTACTATGTTAAATACAGAAATATTAAGGGGGGAAAAAAACCCAAACCAGTCCAACCAACCAAATCTGATAGGCTCTTGGAAACTGGAGTACAAATTTTGTCTCTCTGTAAGGCCTGTAAATCCTGCTTCCATGCTCAGGGTAGGGCTGGAATTCCTCGTGGGTGCAGCAGAGCCTCTGGATTTGCAGGGCTCCAGGTTGGAGGGAAGGGCTCAGTGTCAGAGGGCAGCCAGAGATGCTGCTGGTCCCTCAGTGAGGTGGGGACTGGGGGTGGGGTTTGCCTCGAGGCCAAGTGCTTCACCTTTACCTGTCAGCAGTGCAGCTCTTCAGAGATAATGTAAATCCCTTCCTTTTGAATCAGGCAGGTACAGACAAAGTGCCAAAGGCAGCATATTAAGAAAAGGGAGGATGCAAGAACCAAAGGCAGGCTGGTTAATTGGCCTGTGTCTGCACACGCTGGGTAGGTGCAACACGTACAACTCAAACATCAGTTTGCTCTCCTGGTGCGCTGCTACAAACGACATCATCCCTCATTGCCATGGGCAGCCTCCAGTTCTCCATGTGACGAGTCTGAGTGTCTATTTTTCCAAGCCAAGGCCAGCGAAACAGGCATGGTTGAGCTTGCATGTGCTCTTGTGCATCTGTGTGCATCGGTCCCATGTGTGCTTGCTTGAGCAGTGCCACATGTGCAGGGCTGGAGCTGCTCTGCACATGCCAGTTCTTCTTCTGCATGGGCAAGATCTCCCTGTTTATGGGGATGTGGCTGTGGTGTCAGGGTGTAGAAACTGTGCTGCATTTGGGTCAACTGTTTACACTCAAATGGGAACTGAATTCTTTAGTGTTTGGCCTGAAGCTGCCTTAAATCTCACTGAATAGTGCTTGGTCTTCAAGCAGTTGGGCTCTGGCATTTTTGCATGTAGCAGATGAATAAATCAGGAAGCCTGTATTGATTTAACAAACTGTGAAGACACATTTTTGACTGTGTATTTCTTGTTCCTTTAGTATGTGTTTGAATTGATGGGAGCTGTTTTGAAACTAGAATTGCTTCAGTCGAGGTGTTAGAAAAGTAGGGAATTTTTTTCTGGCCATTGTTCTCAGAGCTTTGGTCCTCTTCCCGATTTACCAAGTCATCTGCATTTGGTGTGGGCTGGCAGAAGAATGACTTTGCCACTTCTCTGTGGGAAGCTGGTTAGCTTTGGTAGGGGCTGCTACACAAGGAGCTGCTGCAGGAGGTGACAGCTTTGTACAGATGATTGATGCCTGTGTGGTTCAGACTTCAGTTTGGGGACTCATCTTTGGAAATGCTTTGCTGGGAGCAGGTGAAGAGAGTTGCTTGGCCATGGCACACCCTGCCTTGCTAAAATGTGTCTTTCCCAAGAGCTTAGAAGAGGATTTGGTTGATGCTCAGGATGTGACTGTTGACTGTTAGAGAGCTGTATTGCTGCTTAGTTCTGTGAGTCAGTCTGGCCTTTAAAGGATGCTCAGGAATCTGAGCATTGACTTCCTTGACAGTTCTGAGAGGCATCATAAATAACCCAAGACCTCCTGTGAAGATTCACTGTTAGACTGAAAATCCAAAAGTCTCTTTTCATTTCAAAGTCTTTTCCCTGTTGGTTGCCTTGGTGTCTCTCAGGGTCCAGCTCTGCTTATTTGTCTCCTTTTAACCAATCCTCAAAAATGCCCCGTGAAGTTCAGAAGGGAACTCAGACACTTCTCAGCTGGATCCCACTGCCTGTACCTAATGCAGAGGAATTTCTGTAAAAGACACGTGTAGAAATTATGTGAAATTCTATGAAATTCTATGAAATTCTATGGCCATGTTGAGTTTCCTGTGAAAGGAAATGTGTGCAATGAGAAGAACAAAGCGCCACTAAGCCGTTGCTTTTGGTCGGTGAAGGCCGAGCAGCCGATGTTGCCTCTCCCCCGCTTCCCGCGCCGCAGTGCTGAGCGAGGAGCCAAATGCACGTGTACCTGGGACTGCATCCGTGTGCTTCCTGCAGTGTGTGCCCCGTGCCCCCTTCCTGCCGCTCCAGTGGCGCTCCTTCCCGACTTCTGACGTTCCTTCTCTCTCCCCTAGGACGGGCGGAGCCCGCGTCCCATCCCCCTGCCCGGCTACGAGGTCAGCTTGCCAGGTTCTGGTGAGAAGTTTGAAGTGAAGCACGTCTTTAAGCTTTGCCAGTCCCACCAGACTCTCTATTTCAGCGCAGAGGATGAGGAGCTGCAGATGAAATGGATGGAAATTCTCACCAAAGCCGCCAAAGGGGAGACTGAGGATACAGCTGAAGGGCTCAGCAACCCGTAGAGCAAGTTCCGTTTAGTTTCTTTCCCACATGCTATAAACGGTCACTTGAATTTGGTATTCATGGCACTTTGGAATCTGTATGGCTTTATATTTTCATGTGTCTGCATAGGAAATTCAGTGGTTTCTCGCCTTTTATTGTACATTTTTCACGTCCAGTAGTTACCTGCCATATATTATGTTAAAGGAAAAAAGTAGCTGTAGTTGTTGGTGGTGTCGATGCTGGTTTTAAAACAAAAGACAAGGGGCAAAGCATTAATTTTAACGAAGGTAAAATGGAAAAACCATCGGTCTTTTGTTTTCCTAAATGTATATTTTCCAGTCCTTTTTATTGCTGTTGAGTGCAGGATGTGTATAGTCTGTGATTAGTTCTATAAATGCTGCCTTTTAAGTTAAATGTTGTAAAGGCTTGTGCTGGCCACTGACATTCCATTCTCTGCCTCTCCCTCCTGGTAAAAAGGTCCTTGTGAAGTGTGAGCAATGTCCTGAGTATTTTCCCTTTGCTACAACTATGTCTCTGCTATTTTGAGATGACCTGTTCACAAGAACAAATACTATAGAGGGGACTTCTTAAAGTGCCTGCAGATGGTGCAGAATAGAACATTAAGAAGCCTCAATGGTTTTAAGCATTTCTGTTATCGATTGTTTTCGTTTGGAACCAATACCTTCCTTTCTTCTATCGGAACCCATTTTGATGTAAGTGAACAAACATTTTATACTGCCAACTGGGTTGTGATCAATAAACAAGAACATTTTTAGTACACACCGCACAAAAAGGTGACTTTTTTGTTGTATTGGTTAATTTAAGTGGGCTAGGTTTTATTTATATAATTTGTAAATAATGTTACATAAGTACTTTAAGAATTTTTAAAAGACCTCAGCTGATTAACAGGATTTAGTGCATAGTATGAGATATTTGTATGAATTGAATTTGTAATTTAATTTTCCTGTTCACCTGTGTTTGTCTTATTTTCAAACTTTAATGCTTATCTATTTAAATAAAAATTCCTGCAGTTAACTCCTGAGCCAGATTTCCAAGGCACAGCAAGGTTTAGGTCAACATTTAATATAGGTTTTAAAAAAAAAATAATAATAAAAAAAAATCTAAAACAAACAAAGAAACAAAAAAAAAGGCATGTCTGTTCCTAGTGGTAGTAAGCATGTAGTATCGATCAAAATGAAATAAAATATGTCACAGTGCTGTATTTTTAAATGGTTTGGTTTAACTTTTGTTTTCTCTTCAGCCTTCTACATTTTCTGGTATTGGTAGCGAGGAAGAGCTGCTCCAAACAGCCAGAGCTGGTTAGGATTGGGCAGAGTTAGTCATCTGCATGAGTGAGTATTTTTCAGACCTACAGAAAGGGACTTATCCTTGTTTGGGGTTTGGTTTATTTTTTTTTACATTGGTGTAATAAATCAGGAATCTGAAGTCCATGATGATAAAAAATTAGAATTCATGTAGTTGGTTTATCTGCTGGGAAAATTTCATCAGACTTGCGTTTTCCCCCTCCTCCCTACCCACCCCTTCCCATCAGCCAACGCAGAAAAGATTTCTTGAAGAGCAATTTGTGGCATGAGGATGTGATGGTTTTAGGAATTCTTTTCACTGTGTGTTGTTTCTTCTCCCCAACTTCCTTGAAAATATAATGGGGTAGAGTGCTTGCCTTGAAAATTTACTCATGTAATAACATTTCTTTTTTGGAGGTGGGGATTTTCTTCTTTGTTTGTTTGTTTGTTTGCTTGGGGGGTTTGTTTGTTTTGGTTTATCTTCTTTTAAAGTTTTTCCTTTTTTATTTTGCTTGCTTAGTTCTTTTTCTTCATTACCAAGAGAGAAATGGGAAGGGAGAATGGTAAAGCAGAAGAAAATTGACACATCTCGATCCATCCTCCAGTTTCTGTTTTTATTAACCAAGATAAAAAAAAAACCACTTTGGTGAATCTCTGTTAATTCGGGTATTCCTCTCAAGCAGTGCTCTTCCCTAGGGTTTGATTATTGTCAGTCAGGGTGCAGGTCACAGGAAGCAGTGGTCAGTCTCATTTTTATGATGGAACTGGAATTTTTAGTTAAATGACCCCACTGAGTGAAGAGTTGTAACTGAGAAACTCACGAAGTTGGTAGGTTGGGGTGAGGGGGATGGTGAGCAGTCCTTAATAACTGAGTAGCTCAGAGGAGGGTGATGAAAACGTCAGGATTTTTTTTAGTGGTTGAGGAAAGGAGGAGGAGATCTCCTGATTCTCGTAGAGGACACTAGATTTCCAGAATTGTGGCTGTTGTTTGAAAAGAACTTACGTTGAATGATGCAGCTCAAATCATTGTTCTGAAAGAACCATATTATATTGGTTTTGAAGCAGTTCTGAAATAATGGACTATCTTACTTGGTTATTCAAAAGAAGAGAACCAAGTCATCAGTTTAGCAGGCATTTATCGAGGCACAAAGTGAGCTCTGGAACATGAATATTACCTTTTATTCTCATGAAAGGCGGCACTACTTCCTTCATGTTCTTTGGGATGAGGTAACAAATGGTTAGGGGGGGTTTCTTGCCTATTTTACACCTTTGCAGAGTTTCCCAGGACCAGCTGCCCAGCCATACTGAAACTGGAGATGAAGGACGGTGGTTCAGCCTCTCCGACAGCCGCAGTACGTCCCTCGTGGCCTTTCAGCAGCACCACGAAACATTTCCCTGCTAAATATAAATGACTGTGTCCCCTGAAAACAAGCACCTTCCCTTTTTACATACCTACCATTTCCCTTTTTCTGTTCTCCAGCCCATGTGGGCTTTCAGTGGGCTTGGACTCGAGTGCTCTGGGTGCTGCAGGAATCTCGGTGGAGGTTGGTGGAGGGATTTCATGCTGCTGTAAAAGGAAACCTTGCTAAGACAAGCTTTTCAGAGAGCCGGTTGCTGGCTGTGCTTGCAGATCCTGTGTGACCTGAAGAATTCTGTTGGGTGTCTCTGAGAACAGAGTTTTGGGGAGCTGTGAGGAGCTTTGGGGATGACTTGCTCCGATGCAGGAAAACAAACAGTGGCCACCTTAGAAATGCTGCATTTGAGCATCAGCTGTGTGCAGGAGTGTTACTGAGACAAAGTGGTTCTAAATTCAGACAACAAGTCCTCCAACCTGGAATAGTCTATGCTAACTTCACCAGTGCATTGAAGGGAACTGAGGAAAAATCTGGTTTGGGAACAGCATGTGCAGGGAGCGTGCACTGATCAATAGGAGTCCTGTGCAGCTTGATAAGGAAACAGATGGAAATCCCAACAACTCACAGAGACTCTCTGCTCCTGTGTGTGGACTGCACGCACTTTTTGTTAAAAAACCCTGACTCCCAAGTCCCCAAATGTGTCACGTGGACCTGTTGTGTCTGCAGATGTTGAGTAACTTCCCTGTGTTTCAGGAACATGCTCTGCAGACGTGGGAGTTTCTTAGTTCCCCAGCTGGATCAGAGAGGGATTACATCTGGCCTGTAGCAGCGTCTTTAAGTCTGAAAAGGAGTAGGCAATTATCCCACCATCTCAGAATGGACAGGAATCTGTCCATGCTTCTGCCCTGTGCTACAAGATTAGCCATTTGCCCTTTAGGTGTTGTGCCACAGTGGGCTGTGACTTGCAAGAAGAGGTTAAACTGGTAAATACAACGTTGTCCCAGTTCTAGTGCTGAAGGAGATGCTTTCAGATTCCGAGCTGAAGATGGCAACGTTTTGGTGTGAAACTGGTGACAGCTGACTTATGAGCTGGGTAAGAATAACTAAACACCATGTCTTGGCCCTGTGAATGCATTATTGATTTCACTCTCCATGTAGGGCAGCATATTTTTGCTTTGATAAAAGGCCTGGTATTGACTCTGATTATACTGAAGCTGTAAAGGGATCTCTGGAAGTTTTAATTTTTCAACACTTTGAAGTTGCCTGTGGTGTTAAGTTGTAGTAGTCTGGGTGCTTTGGGCAAATCTGGAAGCCTTGGGACATTTCCACAGGCAGCCATGGGTAGGAATTTGTCTTGGGAACTCCAGTGCCACAGTGCTGTTCAAAGGATGGGCAGTCCACTTAATTTTTTGACAAGGAAAATTGTATTTTGGAATTTTGTATTTTAGAATTCTTCTTTTTTTTCATGACAATAAATGCTGTTGAAACCATACCATGGATAAAGGGAGTAACACAGCAATAGGATTAAAATAGGGAGGCCTTTCAGCTGGAAACAAGGTGAAAGGGAGATACACCGAGTGTGTGTACAACCCTTAGAGTAAGGTAGAACTCCAGGGGTGGTGTTTCAGCAGGTGGGGAGAGGGAGCCACAACAGAACTAGTTTTGGTAGCAAAATTGGATGTTACAGAAGAGAGAAAACCTGATGCCTGTTCCTTAGGCTGTGCCAGAGACACCCATTACTAAAATAATGATTGTGCATGTTCAGTTCCCCTGGGCAGAGCTAGACCTGTTTGCAGAACTTGAGCGCCCGGAGAAGAGGGAATGGACCACGTGCTCCTCAGTTCATGTGAGGAGCTCCCTTCTGATAATCAAGCTCCAAGTGCCTCTGGGAAACCAGCGCCAAGAAGCATCAAATTCTTGGAGCTGGGCGGCAAAAGGTCTCCTGGAAGTCGTGTTCAGTGACAGGGTGAGATTGGATTGATTTAATCAGCCACTGCAGGCTTGTCTGCCTGAGTTTGTCAGTCGTGTGTGACACGGGGCTGTGTCCACGTGCTGCTGTGTGCCGGGAGGAAGGGGACTTGCCATTCTGCTTGTGTTGATGAAAGCAAAGCTTGAAGGTAAGTGGATGGCAAAGGGAGCTGGGGCACACCTGTGATCATCTCCCAGTCACTGCACAAAATGAGGCAGGGGAGAGTAACTTCCCTCAGCTATGTGGATCTGGATCCTCCTCGGAGCAGCTCACCCTGTGCACTGAGTGCATCTCACAGTACCTGCAGAGAGGGAGATGAAATTAAACCTCTACAGACAGGGGACATTCTGAACATGGCCCAGTTCTGAAGTCTTTCATTTTGCAGTGCAGTGTTTCTCCAGTAATTTCAGGATGGGGTGGACAGGGTTGAATGGTTTCTGCTTAGAAAAATACTGTCTTGCTCCCGTTTTCATTATCAAAGGAGTTGCAACAGCAAAGATTTCTGCTATAAGCCAATAAATAGAATGATTATAGGATTTATCAAAGAAATTGCTGGTAGGGATTTGAGACAGGGGAGCACTGCCAGTGGTTTTGCTGATTTAGTGGTCGTGTGACTGGAACTGAGGAGTGATTGGGCCTGGTAACACAAAGCCTTTAGAGGAGTTGCCAAATTCATGCTGGTTCATGACTTTTTAAATAAACCAGAAGGGAAGAGCCCTCATGGAGCCCTTGTGTCCATAGTTAGGGCTTCAGGCAGTCAGATGAGGGCATGTGCTACAGCTGGGGAGGAAGGGTGACCAGAGTTCCCAGATTCATGTTTTAGTGTAACATTAGAGAGTGTATTGCCAGGTAGGAAACCACAATGGGATCTGTTGTTCCCCACAGCCTGGTGATCATCCACAGGGATCATCAGATCCTGCTGCTGGCCAGTCCAGAGGAGGCCACAGAGATGCTCCGAGGGCTGGAGCCCCTCTGCTCTGGAGCCAGGCTGGGACAGCTGGGGGGGTTCACCTGGAGAAGAGAAGGCTCCTGGAAGACCTGAGAGCCCCTTGCAGGGCCTAAAGGGGTTCCAGGAGAGTTGGAGAGGGATTTTGGACAAGTGCCTGGAGGGACAGGACAAGGGGGAATGGCTTCCCACTGCGAGAGGGCAGGGAGAGATGGGATATTGGGAAGGAATTCTTCCCTGTGAGGGTGGGCAGGCCCTGGCACAGGTTGCCCAGAGAAGCTGTGGCTGCCCTTGGATCCCTGGAAGTGTCCAAGGTCATTTTGGATGGGGCTTGGAGTAACCTGGCAGGGGGTTGGCATGAGATGGTCTTTAAGGTCCCTCCAAACGCAAGCCATACTGGGATTCTGTGATTCTAATTAAAACTAGAAGTTTGCTTGATTTTTAAAGCAGCAAGTCCCAGGGGATGTGAAAGAAAGGTCAATAAATTCTACACAGAGAGAGAAACGGCAAGGGAAGAACTGAATGAAGTTAGAGGGGAGGAAAAGGAGATCCTGAGGACAGATGCTCACTGGTGCAAATAAGAGAGTGTGTGTGC